CATACATGCATATTTTCTCGGGATCACATTGAAATTTTCATCAGTGTTCGTGGAACATTTATTATATTATAATGTAATACGCACATAGATATACATTATACAATGCAGGAGCATAATTATTTTTTCCGACCTTGGGCGCAATATTTTTATATAATTTATTTTATTAATCAGTGTTATAGAACTGAATAAAACGTAAAATTCAATTGTTTTACGCTGTAAACACAATAGCAATAATAATAATATTGCTATATAGGTCATTTGCCACCAGAACAACTTTGTGCACCCGTCGGCAGGACTGCTTAATTGACTCCAGAAACATTATTTCAGATGAAGAAAGTATAAGTAGGTGTATAAAATTTGATACAAGAACATATGTAAGATTTTTAACTTCAAACATGAGCCAATATTACGTATACTTCATAACATTTAATACTATTTAGACAAAAATGTAATGATATCAATTATATAATTAATAGTTGGAAAATTATCTAGATAATATATTATTATAACAATGGTATTTTGCTTTTTTCATAATAATAATTTAATAATGTTAATTATATTAACAACTAAAAAATACATTCAATTCAACCTGCATTACTGTAATATATAGATTTTAAAAAATACAGTGTCGTAATTTGTCTGGGTCATGTGGCACTATTTTAAAATGCCCTTAACTGAAATTCCGGAGAATATAAAGATGTCCTGTTAGTATGCAATAAGGGATACCAATGATTTTTATTATTTTATTATATTACAAAAATGAAGGATTAAAGAGAAAATATATCTAAATAGGTATTAAAATAGATATAGCAATAGACAATAGCAGATATGTTAGTTTTTTTTCAATAGTGCACTTAATTACAAACATTTTTAGATACTAAATTAGTGGCGGGTACATAAAAAAAAGTGAGCAAATGGCTCTAATGTAACATTATTTTTAACTCAGTGTAGGTGTAATGTAGGTATAAAAATAATTATATAATAATATAAAATCAATATATACGAAAAAAGATTTTAAATGAAGACGTCAGCGGCGTCAATCTATAAAAGTATATTTTATGACATTGGTAGGTATTAAGGTAATTTATTGATTTACATAAATTGCATTTGAAAATATCGTTGTGTTAATATAACAATACAATTTAAAGGTTTAAAGTAGCCACAAATAATATTTTCAAATTTTTATATTCTTTTTTAAACATCCAATTTCGTCCAAATTCGAACTTAAAATATCTATAAAAAAAACTATTTTTATATTTATTAGATTTTTGGTTACAGTATGAACTATTTATGAGATGTATAATGTATAAATGCAGTATACCTGTAAAAATTGAATATTTTATCATCTATAACTGGTAAATAGTTTGAAAATTTTTATGATTTTGATGAGTTTTGATGAACATTTCTAAAATTAAATTGTGCCTATATGTATGTTTTATATTTTTGAACTGTCATTATAAAAACTAATGAAAAAGCTTATACATTTTATTACTATTATATTTTCAAACTTTTTGAACAGGTAAAAATGTTAAATCTATATTTACCTATAAAAAAATGCCTATAAATCGCTTAAAGCAAAAATATTTTTAAATGTTATCATGTATAAAAAATTATCAAATAAAAATTTGGTAAAAATTTTAATCATCTTTAATGTTAATTTATTCATTTTTAAATTACCCCAAACTAAGAAAATTGTTTAATGAGAAATCGTAAATTTATGGGTATCTCATGTCCAATATTAACCCAATGTCATAAAAATCTAAACTTCAAATACTCATAAAAAAATGTATGTGAATTTACGCTCAACTTTTATTTTGCATTACATTAATTACAACTATAATATAATATTATATTAAAGCTTTTATCACTTATCAGTTTCAAATTGTTATTAACAAATAAATTCTTATTTAAATTTTGTGTATTATTTTCTTACCCTTTTAACGATCATGGAAATATCCATGCTTCATAATATATGACAACTATTAAGCATACTCGTAGCAGGTATATATTATTAATTTAAAAATAACTATTAAAATTCCAACATGTAAATGACATATTGTCTAACAAAAAGACTATAAATTATAATCCCGAAAAAATTATAAATTAGTTAATCTAGACTCTAGAGAATTAATGTATCTATTATTATATTATGTATAAATTATCCGAAATTCGTAGCCTATACCTATATAATATATACATAGCTATACCCATGTTCGAATCATGGTCCATTGGTCCAAGATTCAAAATACAAATTGTATCTATGACACATTGATACTTCTCAAAAGCCCTCCATCTTTATGCCTGTCAGTAGCTAATATCCATAATCCAATATTTATTATACACCAATTTCACGATAAGTACATAAATTATGGTCAACGAAACTGTCTCTTCGCACGCCCGGACAATATTCAGTGATGTATCGGGCACGCGGCTTATTTTATTAATATGTATGCAATATGAGTAAAAGTCTTACATTTTAGTATTAACTATTTTAGTCGTTTCAAGCAATATTATAACTAAATGCATAGGTGCATTCTGTTTATACGTATATTATAAGCATTAAAAAGTACCTATATTACATGGATATTATTTATCGATAAACTGCCAATAATAATTAACGATCGTAAAAAGTTGAACAGATTAATAGTTATTATATTATATTATTATTTTTTATATATTAATTATATATCCAGTAAATATATGATCTATTGTACCTATTGTACCTTACCTACCTATTTACATATTATTATTTTTTGAGTTATTTTATAATTTTTTGTTTGTATATTTTATAATAATTATTAGTATGTATTATTAACTTATTAATAAGCACCGGATTTAACATAACATATACATGCAATGTATGTATATACGCATAACCGTGGGAAGTATAAAATGAAACTCATTTGTATGGACTGGTGAAAAAATTGCAGAGAAAGAGCTGACAAATAACTATGACGTGTTGTCGACAGAATATGTCTGTATTAAAGAATAGATTTTCTGCACCACCTGCAGGGACTGTGTAATGTTCACTTTATTGGTCATGCATATTCTGTTAATAAATTTGACTGCCTAAAGTCCTTAGAGTAGAATGATGTATGTTTTAAATATGTTGAAAATAATTTACAAAGACAGATAAACATAACTTTACAATACTTATGTTAACTACACGTCTTTATGTACAAGGTAAACAATACTATGACTTAAATTAAGAATATTTTTAAGATTCAATATTTATAAATTTGTTTGTACCTACTACCTACATATTATTACTATATTATGTTGTTATAACTGTTATAAGATTAATTACAGTGACATTTTAAGTGGTAAATTTAATTTACAATATATAGTTATAATAAATTTAAAAAAGAAAATGGAATATATAATTTCTTATAGGAAATATATCAATTTAATTTCTACAACTTTTAATTTGGATGTAGAATTTTGAATATTTTCTTCTTTTTAGTTATTTTTATGAATTGGAAATTTTTAATATCAAGCCTTGAAAATTGGATACAATTTTAATTTAAAATAATAATTCTGACTTAATAAATTTCAAAATAGTTGTGGCGATACATATATAATGGACATTTTTAGTTAATGAAGTAGTTTTACTCATAACCTGATATTTTTTTACAAATTTAGGACTCTTTATTTCACGTATACACTCTTTTCCTACATATTCATGTTAAATTAAGGTTCGATTTATAAGATCCGTTTCTTGAAATTTACTGTAAATTTATATAATATTATATTCATGAGTTACCCTGAAATGGTGTAGGTACTTACGTCTTCACTTACTAGCTTATATCTCTATTTTTATTCATACTTTAAAGATGATTATTAATATCATAAAATATATAGATTAGATTAATTTAATGAACAATAACACAAAGTATAATACTAGTTAGGATAGCCGAAAGGTAATGCAATATTATATACCACCTTCTATTAATTATTAATTAACAA